GACAAAGCTTTCTGTACTCTGAAAAAATAAATAAATAAAATAAAAACACATTTTAGAATTTAATTCACTTCAAGCTCCCCATCTATTCATATCTCCATGCTTTATTTTGCTGAGAAATTGCTTAGAAAAACACCCCTTAGCATTTCTGTCTGTGGCCATCTTGAGTAAGGGCAGATGATTCATGTAGCATTGACTTCCTGGAATCCATCTGCCCTTACTTCAGGCATACAAGCAGGAAGGCATGCTTAGCTGAGAAAACCCCTCCTCCCCTCCAGAAAACTCCTGAGATGTTGACATCATTTGCCTAGGCAAGAAACCAGAAAGTAACTGAACATAAAAAATAGTTTGAAACAAGTATATATGATATACTTTCCTATTTATTAATGCTAGCAGCATAAGAATTAAAAATAGTCAATGTTAATTGGGAGAGTGAAGTTCCACTTTAAAATATGTTTGGGGTAAGTAAAAATGCAGCAGCCAATACTACAGCAAAAATCAAAATGACTTTTTATGAAGAGAACAGCCATGCTAATTTACAGACACATGACTGTAAGGAAATGTTTTATTAACCATTTCAATACCGTGCAATTTTACAACTTCCTGCCCAGGCCATTTTTCAGGTTTCAGCGCTCTCACACTTTGAATGACAATTACGCGGTCATACAACATTGTACCCAAACTAAAATTTTATCATTTTCTTCACACAACTAGAGCTTTCTTTTGGTGGTATTTAATCACCACTGGGGTTTTTATTTTTTGCAAAATTAACAAAAAAAGACCAAAAATTCTGAAAAAAAAAAAAAAAACAAACACGTTTTTCTTTGTTTCTGTTATAAAAGTTTACAAATAAATAATTGTTCTTCATAAATTTAGGCCAAGATGTATTCTACTACATGTCTTTGGTGAAAATAACCCAAATTAGGATGTATTATTTAGTTTGTAGGAAAGCTATAGAGTTCACAAACTATGGTATAGATCTGAATATTGATCAGTCCTGAAGTACTGACAGCCCATCTAATTTCTTGAGGTGCAAGAATGTCAGAATAGTACAGATATCCCCCAAATGACCCCTTTTTGCAGAGTAGACAGTCCGACGTACTTCATAAGAGGCATGGCGAGTTTTTTGAAGTTGTATTTTTTTTTGACATAATTTTTCGGAAAATGAAAAAATAAAAAAAAAAATATTTTCACTATTTTTTTTTTATATACTGTCACCAGTGCAGTACAGTGTCATCATATAACTGGCATGGCGGTGAACAGGGACACTGACTGGTGACAGTATGAAAAAAATATATATATTTTTTTTTTTATTATTTTTTAATTTTTTATTACTTTTTTTTAAGATTTTTTTTTCATATTTTACTTCGACCAAAGTAGTACAATGTTACCATAGTAACATTGTACTACTTTGGGGAAGTGATCAGTATTTTTTTTTTTTTTTTTTTTTTTTTTTTTTTTTTACACAATTTGCTTATAGCAAAGAATTACTTTGCTATAAGCAAGCATTTACCTGAATGAAATCGATTCATTCAGGTTTTTTTTTTTTTTTTTTTGCGCTTAGCTGTGATTTGGTCACAGCTAATCAAATGACATGTGCATGTGATTAGCTGTGACCATTCACAGCTAGGCACTAGTATACAATGGATGGCATGAATAAAGCCATCCATTGTATACAACTGTCATGTGACCTGCTGTGATTGGTCACAGCAGGTCACATGGTACCAGCAACGGGGGCCGGTACTAAGATCTGTCATCGGCCGTGTCCGAGGTACACGGCCGGTGACAGATCGCGCCGCTGCGCGGCTCTGCAGGAGCGCAAACTGCGCATGTGCGGGAGCACGCCAAATGGCGTGCATCCGGAATGCCGAAGCACTTTTGAAGCTGCCAAACGGCCATTGGCCGGGCGGCTAATGGTTAACTGGTATCCATTTTGTATAATGCCTGCATTTCAAGATGTGTGAACAGTTTGTTTTGTTTTGTAACGCCTCTCTCGTTTCTGAGAATACTATTTCACTGTAAACGGAACTACTTTATATAGTATCCCTCAACTATTTGCAGTTTCTGTTCTTCACATAACTATATTGATAAGAGTGGCATGTTTCATTGGTCATCCTAAGATTAAGCAACACCCACGGATAACAGTTCTTGTTTTGCATTAAACTTTCAGAGATTTAGCTTGCACACGTCGGTGTCCGGAGCTTTATGTCTCCCAGGCCTGATAGTGAAAATAACGAGGACACGGGGCTACAGACATAGGCTGATTCCTTTCACATGACTCTTGTGCACATCGCTAGATAGAGATGGGGCTCAGGTATTTGGGGGATGGGGTTCTGGGGAGACTGCTGCACACAAGTGGTTTTACCTTCATGCATAGAATTTTACATCCACTATACATGATATGTGCATGCACCTGATGCTTTTGATGATATTCCATTAAATTATTCAGCAAGTTATCTTCCAGTTTATGCAACGTGGCTTGGTAGTTAACCTAGGCTTAAGTTTATTCATGGTCAGCATATTTGCTTCTGAATGAGATGGTACATATGTGCGAATAAAATTATTCTACAAAACTACCACTGAGGTTAATTAGATTTTCTCAACCACGGTTCCTCCAGAGAATACCAGGTGTTTAAGCAATGCACAAATCTACCTTTAATAAAAATTATCACCACTGACACCAATATGTTTTTTTGGTAGTTGTATGGATGGGGGCATTCTTCTCTCTGTCCGCCAATGTAAGGAGGATTCCCTTGACTGACCACCATGCTATTGCTTTGTGAGCTGTAATTATTACCACCTTCCTGCATGGCCTATAGCAGATTGATGGCCGGGTGCGATGCTCCTCCATCTGAGAGGACTTCATATGATGTCCTCTGAGAAGGTGCCGTTCACATGGCCCCGCAGCAGCGAGATCTGTCACTGCTGATGACAGCTCACTACACCAGCCAGCTGCCTCTGTGACCAATCACAGCGGATCACATGACAATTGTATACAATGGATGGCTTCCTTTCATGCCATCCATTGTATACAATTGTGTTAGCTGTGATTGGTCACACGGTACAGACAGGGCAGATTACAGCCCATATGTACCATGTGATGGGCTTTGGCCAATCACAGCTAATTACAACAAGACACTGAATGAATCAGTTTTATTCAGTAAAAATGGTTGCCAATATCAATGAAATTCTTTAGTATAAGCAATCATATTGTGTAAAAAAAACAAAAAAAACAAAAAACACACACACATTATATATAAAAAATTTCTTTTTTTCTTTTTTACATACTGTCACCTTAGTGTCCCTTACCACTGCCACACCAGTTATATGGATAACGCTGTACTGGACTGGTGACAATATGTATAAAAAAAAAGTTTTTTTTCCCATTTCTTCATTTTCCAAAAAATTGTAACAAAAAAATTACAACTTCCAAAAATTCACCATGCCTCTTACTAAATACTTTGGACAATTTTCCAAAAATAGATCATTTGGGGGGTATTAGTACTATCCTGGTGATTTCGGGCTTCAAGAAATGAGAATGGCTGCCAGTACACCAGGATTGACAATTGTCAGATATGTATACACCATAGTTTGTGGACTTTGAAAATAATCCAAAATTAGTGTATATTATTTAAAGAAAATGTAGCAGAATACATTTTGACCTAAATGTATGCAGAAAGGCTATTTATTTGCAAAATGTTATAACAAACGAAGAAAAAAAAAAAAAAAAAAAAAAAAAACATGTTCTAACGTTTTGGTGGTCTTTTTTTTGTTTATTTAGCAAAAAATAAAAAACTCAGTGGTGATTAAATACCACCAAAGAAAGCTATGTTCATGTGAAAAAAAACCCAAAAACTTTTTTTTATATGGGTACAGTGTCGCATGACCGCGCAATTGTCATTCAATGTGTGACACCGCTGAAAGCTGAAAATTGGCCTGGGCAAAAAATGCCCGGTATTGAAGTGGTTAATAGGGGTTTCCTGAGAGCTAAAAGTTATTTCAAGGGGTCCTTCATGTTAAGATGGTTGAGAAGGCTGGCTTAGATGGTGAAAAGAAGCAGCTTTATCTCCTCTCACATTATTGTGCTGACTAATGCAGGCCATAGATGGGGAGAAAAAACTGCAGATTTTTCTTTTAAAAAACGAAAATTCGGTCGTTCAAGCGGCCGACGTTACCATCAATGGTAAAAAAAAAAAAATCAGCCGATTTTCATCCCTTCTACAGCTGGCAAAAAGTGTCCCTGCAGAGAGCTCCGCTATTTCTGACAGTTCTCTGACAGTTCCTTCACATTTACAGCGGTTGAAACATTGTATCTATTTGTTTCCATTTAGGATACAGATGTTTTTATTCGGAAACAAATAGATACAATGTTTCAACCGCTGTAAATGTCAAAGAACTGTCAGAAATAGCGGAGCTCTCTGCAGAGATACTTTTTGCTGGACTGGAATTCTTATTTTCATCCTACTTCTTCATCCTACTTCCTCCTCTTCCTCCTCTATCCTCTTCCTCCTCTATCCTCTTCCTCCTCTATCCTCTTCCTCCTCTATCCTCTTCCTCCTCTATCCTCTTCCTCCTCTATCCTCTTCCTCCTCTTCTTTTTGTCTTCCTCTTGCAGGCCACTGCTCATGCGCAGATTTTTTATCGGTAAAAAAAATCGGCCGATTTGCCCACTAATTGCCGCGAAAATCGGCCGATCGGCAAAATCGGCCGATTTTTTTCCAACTTTACCGAAAAACAAAAACGGCCAAAATACCGAAAAACGGCCGACCAAATCGCCCACTAACGATCCGAAAATCGGCCGATTTTATTTTCGGCCGACAAATCGCTGATTTTCGACCCATCTATGGCCTGCATTAATAAAAATCGGCCAATTTTCGGATCGTTAGTGGGCAATTTGGTCGGCCGTTTTTCGGTATTTTGGCCGTTTTTGTTTTTCGGTAAAGTTGGAAAAAAAATCGGCCGATTTTTGTGGCAATTAGTGGGCAAATCGGCCGATTTTTTACCGATAAAAAATCTGCGCATGAGCAGTGGCCTGCAAGAGGAAGACAAAAAGAAGAAAAAGAAGAAGAGGAAGAGGATGAAGAAGAGGATGAAGAAGAAGAGGAAGAAGAGGATGAAGAAGAAGAAGAGGATGAGGATGAAGAAGAGGATGAGGATGAAGAAGAGGATGAGGATGAAGAAGAGGATGAAGAAGAAGATGAGGATGAAGAAGAAGAGGATGATGAAGAAGAGGATGAGGAAGAAGAGGATGAGGATGAAGAAGAGGAAGAAGAAGAAGAGGATGAGGATGAAGAAGAAGATGAAGAAGAAGAGGATGAGGATGAAGAAGAAGAAGAGGATGATGATGAAGAAGAAGAGGATGAAGAAGAAGAAGAAGAAGAAGAAGAGGATGAGGATGAAGAAGAAGAAGAAGAAGAGGATGAGGATGATGAAGAAGAAGAAGTAGGATGAAAATAAGAAGAATTCCAGTCCAGCAAAAAGTATCTCTGCAGAGAGCTCCGCTATTTCTGACAGTTCTCTGACAGTTCTTTGACATTTACAGCGGTTGAAACATTGTATCTATTTGTTTCCGAATAAAAACATCTGTATCCTAAATGGAAACAAATAGATACAATGTTTCAACCGCTGTAAATGTGAAGGAACTGTCAGAAATAGCGGAGCTCTCTGCAGGGACACTTTTTGCCAGCTGTAGAAGGGATGAAAATCGGCCGATTTTTTTTTTTTTTTACCATTGATGGTAACGTCGGCCGCTTGAACGACCGAATTTTCGTTTTTTAAAAGAAAAATCTGCCGTTTTTTCTCCCCATCTATGGCCTGCATAAATCACTGTCATTACTATCTCCTGATGACAGCTGTAGCTAGTTTTTCTTTGCAGAGAAATGTTAAGAGGACATGTACAGTGACTCTGGAAACAGCACTTAACACTTTCACAAAGATAAATCAGGAGAAGAAAAAATGACTGCCAGTACAATTAGAATGTTTCTCATGACTTGGCCAAGTCGCAGTGCGTAAAACGATTCTCCAGTGCATCATATCCGCTGCATGTAGCTGCTCTCTACCATCATACTAATAGCATACTTCACGCACTTGAAAAGAAGGTGTTGCTATAGAACAGTCTTGTAATTAACTAACTTGTGCTCTGTCCTTACATGCATATTTGAATCAGTACATTTTATAGTGATTTTAGAACAATGAAGAATTTAAAAACAATTGCATACGGGAAAACTCCTCTAAAGTATTATTCTAGGACACTTGAACAAAAATACTTGATATGCTGATTAAACCCATCACTTCTGAATTCAGTCATCTCAGCCAGAGACGGATTTATTCAAATAAAGATATATATATACACACACACACACACACACACACACACACACATACATACATTCAAAATGTAGAAAATATATCCTTCCTGTTCCATCCTGCCATAGAGTCCTGTTTTGTCTGCTGTTCCTATGCCTCAAACAAATGCGGTCTATATTTATTTGTCAATTGTTTATTTCAATAACTTAAAATGTGAGATTTGTATACTATATACTGTATAAGGCGCCTTTGCACACTAGCCTTTTTTTTTTAAGCTCAAAAAACTGCTGGAAAAAACACGCTGGTAAAAGCGCGTTTAAGTAGTGTTTTAGAACTTAGAAGAGTTAGTACTTTATTAGCATTTTTACAGTACATGGAGAAAAAAAAAAGTTAGAAAAAGAAAGCGGTTAGCATTTTTTTCCTGCTGGAAAAAACACTACAAAAGATGTTTTTTTCTGCTCCTATATGTCAAAACTAAAAAAAATACTACTAGCCTAAAGTCGTGTGCAGGGACACATAGAGGAACACTAATTAGCTTCTATGAGCAGAAAAAAAAAATACTAAACAACAACTTCTAGGAGCTTAAAAAAAAAAAAAAAAAAAAAAAAAAAAAAGGATAGTGTGCATGCAGCATAATCTGCAATCATCAGGCTATCTGTACTGTCATATATACCATTCCAGGAAAAAATTGCTTCCATATACACCTAATATGACAGCTTCATGTTTCTTTTTTGAAGTCTGTCTTTTTGTGTTGTCTTTTGTTAACATGCAAAAATACTGTGATCCACGACCTTCATTCTCTAAATCAGAGTGTAGAATAGATATAACATATGTGCCAATTAATTATTCCGTAGTATACCCCAGAAACTGCTATGATGGACAGACCTCAAACTTGGACATGTGATAGGCTAATAAATGTATAAAACCCGGAATATAATTTATTTTCCCAGTTTTCCAAAATAGGGGCTAATGGGGTGAACGGTTGCACAGTTGGAGGTTGTCACATCTAGGATATTTTCTCACAGTAAGTAACTTGGAAGCAGGGCTTAAAAGGTATTTCAAGATGTGGTCTATAGCGTGAAGGTTTGTCAGAAAAGGCTCTACAGCCCCTTTACATCACTGCATTGTGGTAAGGCACCACCATAAAATGCTCCTGCGATGCAGCACACAACTAAATACCCAACGACGCACAACTGCTGTATTAGGCAAAAAGGTGCAGGTGCTTTTTTTTTTTTTTTTTTTAAATTCTGGTACTCTGGCAGCTCATTTAAAATGAATGGTCTGCCCTAATACAATGCAAGTTAACTAGTGTCTTTTAACCTCCCTGGCGGTCTGATTATTTAATATTTTTGGTGCTGAAAGTGGTACCATTATTTTGCATGGAAATGAGTAGTTTTTTTTATTGTAGGCTGTGATTTTTTTTAGGAATAACTCACTGAAATCTGTCTGAACAAGAGTCTAAATCATACATTTAATTCAATAATATAATCAAACCAAAAAACACTGAAATTTGAAATATAGCACCAAGTTCGCACATCGCTGAGCAAAGTTGCAAAATTGTTTTCAGTGTCTGATGACGAATTTCTCCACAAATCATTATCACTCAATTCTGCAAGTGGTTCTGATTTACTATCGCTGTTCTCTAGCTGGTCTAAAACCGCTTTTGACCTAAAGGGACACTTTTTGGACACCATGGACTTTCCTAAGTTTCCAGGCAGAAAGAACAATCAAAATGCAGACAGGGCACAGGACAAAGCACTAGGGACAAAATGTATGTGAAATGGGTTGAAACAGCAATGTTTTACTATGTAAAATTGTTTTGAAAAAAAAAATGACTTTTTAAATTTTCAAATTTCCCACCGCCGGCGGCGCCCGTACGTCCCGACGTCACAGGGACCGGAACACAGGAGGCGGATGCCGGCATGGGACGGAGGAGATGGCCGGGGACGCTGCAGGGGACACATCGCGGGAGCGAAGGACAAGGTAAGTGCTGCAGGGACTCCCTATGCAGCGCCGCATGGTAAGCCCGAGTGTAGCTCGGGGTTACCGCTTTTGGCACTGACATTTTACCCCGAGCTACACTCGGGAATACCGTTAGGGAGGTTAATGCAACACACTGCAGTAGACAAGTGTGAAGTCAGCCTTAAGGCTAGGTTTACAAATGTGCAGCTGCGGGACCTGCACAAAAATACCTTTCTGGAGACTGAAAGAGAAGTGATTGAGAATAGAGATAGGGATGTGCTTTTGATAAATAGAAAAACTAAGGAGGACAAAAAGGAATTCGCCTTTATTACTAATTTTAATAACCAATATAGGAATGTAGAGAAGATTTTCAAAAAACACTGGCCAATATTGCTCAAGGATAATACGTTAAAGGAGATTAACCCTAAAAAACCAAAGTTTATATATAGAAAAAAATAAATCATTGAAGATGAAACTGGTCTACAATGTTCTAGACCAGGGGTGGGCAAACTTTTTGACTTGAGGGCCGCAATGGGTTCATATATTGGACCCGGGGGCCGGACCAAGAGTAGATGAATGATGTGTATGTGTCATCCATAGTAAGTATAGTAATATTCCCCCATAGTAATTAATCCCCCATATAGTAATTCATCCCCCATAGTAATTCATCCCCCATATAGTAATTCATCCCCCCTATAGTAATTCATTCCCCATATTAAGTCCCCAAGTCCCCCCTGTGTCAATTCACTTACCTTTGCTCCGCGTGTTCCTCTCCCCGTGTTCCCGCACTGTTCCGGTGTAGCATGAAAATCTGTCTCCTATGAGGATCTGTCCCCCTCGACGTATCTGCGCATGTGCCAGTTTCAGGCATTAGCAGCCGATCGGCGATCTCCGGCACATGCGCAGATACGTCGAGGGGGACAGATCCTCATAGGAGACAGATTTTCATGCTACACCGGTCTTCAGGGCGGACTGTGAGAGGAGCCTAGCGGGAGCCTAGCTCCGCGGGCCGGATTAAAAGGTGCGCCGGGCCGTATACAGCCTGCGGGCTGTAGTTTGCCCATTGCTGTTCTAGACCCACCTAAAGAAATTAATTTTTTTCCTGAATTGCAAGGTTTTTTTAACTGTAATAAATGCAAGGCATGTAAAACAGTAAAGAAAGATTTAAAGAAAAAAAGAAAAAGTTTTGCTTCAACATATACGAATAAAGAATATAAGATAAATTCGCTAATTTCATGTAATTCATCCCACGTGATCTATGTCTTAGAGTGCCCATGTCATCTACAGTACGTAGGGAGAACAGGGAGGCTATTAAAAACAAGAATTGGAGAGCATCTTAATAATATAAGAAAGGGGTATGATAAACATAGTGTGTCAAAGCACTTTAAATTTAAACATAATAGTGATCCAAGTCTAGTAACCTTTTATGGAAAAGAGAGTGTGAAAAAACATTGGCGAGGAACAGATATGATTAATGAAATATCCAAAAGGGAGACATTTTGGATATACGAATTAGATGTATTGAAACCTAATGGTTTAAATATAGATATTGATCTAAATTGTTTTGTAACGAATTTTTAAATATTCTTTGGAGTAAAAAATGAGGGGTTGTATGTTGGGTTATGTCTGTCCTTAGGGAGAGACGAGATAAAAGAGATATATATATGTACATATATATTTTTTAAGGTTAGGTATTGGGAGTGGAGTCCCCCTTTAAGAAAATTGGGAATTATGGGGTAAGGTCCCTTTAAGTGAAAAATTGGGCTCATTATTGTTTGAAAGGATGCTCCGTGATGTTGAGTTTCCATATATATATGATCAGAAGGAAGGAAAATATATAATATATGTAGATATATATCTCTTTGGGGTTATGGATTGTGGTGGAGTTCCCTTTATAAACCCTTGTATAAAGCTTGTTACTAATGTGATAGGATTTTTGAAAGTAAATGTACTGGTTAATAATGGGATTCACGTTTTTGAATACTGTGTGATAGAGTTCCCCTTTATAGGGCTTGCTATTATATGATAAGCCCTTTTAGGTAAATAGTTTGATTTAAAATGTAGTTCACTTTTTTAATATATGATTTGTATGGTAAAATATATGAATCAGTCGTGATATTGTTATAG